ATGAATTTTTTCGATCATATCTGGAGTTGTGACCTCAACGGGGCGTCCTGAGCGAGGCCCATCAGAGGTGCTCACACGACCCTTTTTAAACTCGGAAACCCACTGCTTAACGGTTGAATATGACGGGGAGGATTGAAAGATTATCTGTGGAATCTCTTTTTTAATTTCCTTCGGCGTTAACCCCTTCAAATAAAAGTATTTGATGACAGCACGATTTTCCTGCTTTTCCATTTTTACGAAAACCACAGAGGCGTCTTGTTCAGCGTGCTGTCAAACCTATACTAGCAAGGAGATCGGGCTGAAACTATAGCTACAAGCTATCCAAGGATGGTACTATAGAATGTCACCTCAAGGTAGGCCTAGTGGCGTCATCTCATGGTTAGGCCGGAAACTTATCAATCCACCCTCGTATATGCATTCTAAAGGTAGTGTGAGCTTTTCAAGATTTAAAAATGTACTTGTGCTTTTTGGAAGAAATTTCACGTTTTGAGGAAAGCATTTATATTTTTTCAATTTCCCCACAAATACTCATTAAAAAAAATTCCCTCCTGAGGCTCTTTCTTGTGCATATGATGATTAATGATTTCCCCGCTGTTTCGCCTTTACTAAATTAATAATTGTGACTCATCTTATTTTCATTCATATTCTGAAGTTATTGTTCAATGTTGTAATCGATCGTTTATACTGCGCATGGTACCCACCAATAGAGTAAGCAATGCCGATATTGCGAATTTAACATTCAAAGTGTTTCTGAAACAAATCTCACATTTCCAGCTTTTGTCGTTTTCTTTATTTTTGTTTTGATCAACCTACTCAAGATCAGTTAAAATAATGCAATTTTTCTCTGTTCTTACGTGTAGAAATACGAGAACGGTGGAGGGGCGGATTTAGGGGGTGCAGATGACGATATGATCGACATCAACACCAACGGGGGTGGAGATAGGACCATGCCCAGGTCTCACGAAGATGAGCACTTGTCTTGTAAGTACATTACTATTTTATTACGTGTTTGCAATAATAAACAAAATTGAATTTTTTATTTTTTTGTCTGTAGCATATGCCTATCGCTAGACCATACAAAAAAATTTTCTTCTCTAAGTTTACAATGTACACGTTACGTAACGGAATTGGGAGGGGAGAAGAGTCAGGCCGGGCGTTACGGTCCTGTTTACGTGGCAGAAGGGGTCAAAAATTGATGAATTAACAACATAATTTTTGGTAGCCTTTATTGGCAGATAAAATTCTAAAAATTCAACCTGTTCCATCTAATACCGGCTTTAAAAGTTCATAAGAAATTCAAACAATTGTTTCACCACATTGTAGTTTCTTGAAGTTATGATATTATTTAAAATTTAAATCCTCACGCCCCGAGGGCGTGATAGCTGTAACAACTTTTCCTCATTAATTTGTGGCTATCTATTGTGGTAAAAATTAATTCACTTTAATATATTGAAATTAACTCTATAAAAATTCTTCTAAATGCCTCAACTAATATGTATGATCTCGCAAAAAAATTGAATTCTGTTCCGAATTCGAAAATGTTAAA